CGGGGTTCGGTGTCTAGATTCAAATTCGTAAGATTGGTTTCAGAAATTTTTACGACTACTATGATAACTCAAGTCTTTAACATCTTACTTTAAAAAGTAACAAAATCTTTTCAATTGATCAGGAATATTTTTTAAAAATCTGCGTTTATAGACAGTTAGTATCTGTTTAGTTGCAGCTAGAAGTTGGAACGTCACGACAGCCAAAACGCCTGCAATTTTTCGTGTATGCAACCTAGACATCCTTCAAGTACGAATAGTTGTATCCTGGCTTTGTCATTAAGAAAACAGAGGCGCCTTCCATTATTTCCGCTAGTGATGACAGAGTAGGCTACGCACTAGCATAACCATGCGGCCGATGTTCAGATATAGGGTGAATGGAGTATTTGATACAATTTGAATGGAATAAAAAATCAAAAAAGGAAGGCCGTAAATTATTGCGAATTTCCATTGGAAGTGTTTATCCTAAAATTAACTATTTTGCACTCATACCATATGCATACAGTTTCTTTTAGTACAGATACGTCAAATTTTCATAATTTCAGTTTGTATATTCACCAACTTAAGAATTTGTTGGTTCAAAATGTTTAAAAATACTCCCGAGTGCAATAGTACCTCTGACTCAATTTTTAGTTTTTCTGGCGCTTAGGTCCTTTTTTAGCAAAATTAGGTCACTTTTTTGAATTATCCATTGTAATTAAATTACCCTCACATGTTTAAGCGTCTAAATCTTGTATGAAAGTAGATGTCAATTGACTCCAAGATACTTACAATCCTAAAATAACCGGTGAAATAACACATCGCCACTTGACTAAACTAATCGACTTGACAACCCGGCCGCAGGAATTATGAATACGTGCCGCTGACAAAGAACACCATCCGAGGCTATCCTCATCCCTAGGACTTTTCCACTCAAGTGTGACCCATTTTGGTTTTTCCCTTTCTTTTTTTTCTTACAGAAGAACAATATTTTCCCTGAGACACACGTGCTCGGAAATAAAAAAAAATCCCTCCGTCACCGTTTAAAATACCTTTCGGGCGCCGCCATACCAAGCTTGGGGATTTTCTTTTGACGTGATGATTTAAGGGACTCTTTTAAATCAAATTTAAAAACAGGTGCAGTAGAAACGGCAAAATTTGGAACGCACCTAAACTCAGCATTTATCCTCATCAAAATGCAATTCAGATGTGACTCAGGGCCTGGATATAGTCAGGTTTTTTTAAAAGAGCGTTTTCTTACTTTTGTGTATATTTCCTTTAATTTTTATGTGACTTGCAAGAATAAACTTTCACGTTTCAAAATAGTCGTTCTATCTTAATTTACTAACTGAGCACCTTGATAACTGACAAATATGATGTTAGATGAATTGCCGACAAAATTAGGGCATACGTCCTAAAGAAACTTTTGACTGCCCAAAATAACAAAGGTATTAAAAAATAACAATAGAACAAGAAAAATTCCAACTTATACACCGTTTGGAAATAGATCTCGCTAATGAAAAACTTCGCACCATGACGATAATTTTTTAGGAGCATAAGATCTGCTACTCTCAGGGGCCATTTTTATTGTATCAAATATCTTAGGCTCACCAAAATATTCATTATATAAATTTTCAGTTTGACAACACCGATAATATAAATAAAAGTTTCGTTTTTTTTGTTTTTATTCGCCCACAGCACCTCTTTGGTAAAAATTACACAAGATAAACAATATTTAGGAGACTCTGGTGAGGTATTATTTAGAGTAGATTTATTTATAAACTTTCAATAAATAAAATTTTAAAAAATCAGTGTTGCTTTTACACTAAGAGTGTATCTTTAATTAAAAACAGTAAAAAAGTCTGAAAAACCATGTTTATTTAGAAGAATTTCTTATCTAAATTTTACCAGACTTAAATTCTACGGAAAAGTATTTACGAAAAAGGTTTTTGCTAATTTTAAATTTAAAGTCATCCCTTTATCAATCGCGATACGCCCTCAGTACAGCACTTTTTTTCTTGTAACGATCTTCACTAAAGTCACAAAATTGTTTATAATATGACCATTTTAACTCAAGAAAGATATTGAGACCCAAGTTAAGTGAAACGAAGGTATGTTCCCGCAATACAGACCATCCATAATCGACAAAACGCTCAATCGTGCTGATTTTTTTGCCAGACTTGATGGAAAATTTGAAACAGGCTCCGATTCTGCAATACGCGATTCTCATTGGTTCGATTTTCCCCAAGGGGCAAATTTCCCGCCAAGACTGAAAAGAGACCAGCGTGATCGTGCGTTTGGTAGATTTTTGGTGATTGGATAGGGGAAGAACGCATACCTTCTTTTCACTTATCTTGATTGAGACCCCCATTCCACAAAAAACGGGCACCCAAAATACACAGCCTAAATATTTTATTAGTCTTCTGAGCCCCAGATAAAAATTATGTCCCAGTTCAATGTCACGAAACGCGCGAGAACCGAGAGACGAGAGTCCGCAAACGTTATTAAAAAAGGAGCGATTTCGTTTTAATAAGATTGAACAAAGCGCGGAGAAAAAAAGAAAATACTGGATAATGAAAGGGGAGGAGTCGTAGTGGCGGCGATGTGAGAGAAATGAAAAGCAAATAGAGTGACAGCGGAAGAATGAGCACATGAGCAAACAAAACACGAGGAATTCCAATTCTTCGACGCTGGTGCCGGCTGCCGAGGCCGGCGAACGCACCAATATCAACACCAGAGGTCGACTCAGTCTCACGGCCGGGCTGACACCCGGGTCTCGAGTCAGACGTCTGTACTGCCGTGCGAAGGAAAAACGCCGTATGGGCCTTCAGGCGATGCCACATTTCCTCAGGCAAATCACTAATTTTTAGGAGAATTTTTGAAATTTTTTTTGTCAATTTCTCATATAATTTTACTTGTGATTTGATCTGAAGTGTCTGAAAATTTCGAGGGAAAAGTGAACTTTTATCAACGCACCTTTAGTGCCTTCCTACAAAAAATAGCATAATGTACAAAATGAAGTTTTGAGAAAATGTAGTGTGGAGAAATAACTTGAAGCACCTACACTGCCGTGCTAAGCAAGAACACTGCAAAAAAGAGCCTTCAGCCGTAGCCATTTTCCCATCAACAAAACTGGTGGGTTGGGCTTCTTGGATTCCAAGGAGGGCAGCCTCCGAGGGTTGCGCTTCTTGGATGTCAGGGGGGCAGCCCCAGAGATTTTTCCCACTTAAAAACACATATGACATTGCTGAAAGCACCCTGGTGCCTGGGCCAAAGATTTTCCTTCAATTAGGCGGCTATGCAAAATGACTGTCATGACGCACGTATAGTGGTATCAGAATTTCACAATAATATTACGCAGTGGATTGAAGGCGCTCCTCTGTATCCTATCTGAGTGGCCTTGTCCAATGATTTTGACCAAAAATGTTCATAATTTTGTAGTCTTCAATTGAGTCTTCATTTTGAAGAATGCCGGAAGAACATTATTTTGCGTGCTAAGCTTTTATTTTGTTTGTAAGTCTTATTTCAAAAAAGAGAGCCAAAACGCTCGGTTCAGATCGTGGATTTTTAAGTCATCTTGCTTTGGTCATCGTATTCTAATGCAAAACTGAGAGAGTCGCCGTTTACAAGATCGCAATTTACTCAAAAGCGGTTGTGAATTCACTAAGGAACGGCGGATTCACTAGGGCGGTTGTGTTTTTCACACGGATAAAATGAGATTTTGTCGTAGAATTGTGAATTAATCAAAATCGAGGAAAAGATACAGCCTAAAGAAAGGTACCTGGTATGGACCGGTGGATATTTTGGATATAGATAGTTGAAGAGTATGCTTTTATGTTCTAGTTTTTTCGTCGGTCGAAACGGGTATTTTTCCAGGAAGATTTGCTCGACATATGGATAATTGTTTACCACTAGCACATGAAGTCACTCTAACGAAACAAGCGCGAAGAAAAAGAAGTTCCACAAAGAAAGACAATCTTTAATAAAAGAGACGCTCGTGCAAAAAGAAAACCGCGTGAAAGTTCCCTGGAATGGAATTGTCACCCGACAGATTTTCCAGCTCCGTTTGATCGCTTTTCACGTCTGCAAACTTGAAGAGGGCAGAACAATCAAATTCATTACAGAATTGAGAGAAGTTTTGTAACACTCCTGAACTTCACGAGTCATGGTTGCAACGTAATTGATTACTTTGTTGCCGAATCGTTCGAAAAAAAGTCGCTTTTGGGAAGGATATCACACGATCGAAGCTTTGCCAAGTTTTTCCTGATTTTATTTTATTTTTTATTTATTTTATTTTTACAGAAAAAACTATTCAATGAATTTGTTGCAACAGTTTTACGTGCTTTTATGGGCACAAATTCACGAAAGATTAGTTTGATGGTTTATCTGTGGATAAATAAAACCTCAGGAAAACTTGGAAATTCCGCATGATGCTTGAAACACGCTTTTTGAAAGGAGATGATTTGTACAATGGAGATATCGTCGATGTTTGAGCTTTGAGGACACGCATCGTGGTTCGAAGGTACCACGAATGAAGGAGTTATGGTGATTTTTCCGTGATGTTTTTGTGATTTTCAGAAAAACTAATTTGAAAATTACTTGGAAACCTATGACTCATTTGGACTCGGGCACCGCAGCTTCTCGAAAAGCTCTAAAGCTCCTTTTTTTACAGATTACACCCCGGAACGCGCTTCGCTCAAGATTACGATGGTCACATAATCTATTTCAAAAACTTTATTCAATCTCTCCAGCCGCGATGCCTGTAAAAACGTTTAAAATTGTTGCTTTATTTTGGAGGAAAACACTTGAATGTCTTTTTCAAAATCTTTATAGAAGATCCTTTACAAAGATAAAGCCATGTTTTTCGTACTCGTTTTGGGAACAAGAAAGAGGACACGATGGAAGTTTCAGTGCCAAAAATAGGCATTTGAATACAAGTAAATGTTTTTTTGTTTTTTTTTTACCAAACCAAACAATGATTACAGCAAAAACCTGCAACTATGCGATGTGTGCTGATGACTCACCTGTTCGGGCTGAGATAAACGCACTTCCAAATTTCCAGCTAACACAGCGTACCATCCAACTCCAGACTCTCCATGTCGAAAAACTAAAAAAAAAAAAGAACGGAAAAGGATATCGTCAGTAATATAGAACTTTTCTATAAGAATTCACTCAGATTGAATAATTTATATCATACACCTAGTATGCTCAATAGATAAAAATTATGTATTCTATGATACACAAGCATATCCTCGTGAATCTAGTGGATGTATAATCATATGTCGCGCACGGAGGTACTTTGTGCCACCGTGCTCCGAACCGTTGTCTAGTTCTTGTAAAATGCCACTTTGAGAGATTAGAATGTATGATTCAAAAATGTTGAGCATTCAGCAGCTTAAATGAGCATACCTAACCCTTGAAAGTCAGTATCATGCAGTTTCATTTTTGAGGTTGTAGAGCTAGTTTTTTTTTTGTTTTTTTTTTTTAGATTTTAAGAGATTTGTAATGATAGTAAATTCATTGCATACAAACCATCCCAGGAACTCAAATAGTTATAAGAACAATTATGATACCTTCGATCCAAGAGTGCGCATTGATCAAGCGAACTTATCCACATTAAGAAAACTCCTTCAAAAAAATAATACAACCAGGACATCCTGGGAGTCCAAATAGTTATCTCGTAGATCTCGTATGTTCCCTCATGCCTTCTAATTCTAAGCCAAATGCTGATTGAGCGTATCTGAAATTGCTGCGTTGTAATAAGTCTCTGCTCTTGTTTGATTTATTTAAAAGGAAACTAACTAGCATTTTCTATTGAATCTTTTGGGAATTACCTGTACTCTGTACTCTAAAAAAAAATCACGCAAAATTGTAAAGAAACATTATAATTAATTTTCCTTGGGTAAATTAAGCATAATCGGTTCCTTGCATAAAATTAAACACAATCGAAGATTTTTAAACGTCGTAATGCAGGTACGCATGTTTCACATTTGGACGTATTTCTGTCAAACGGAGCTATGCGCATTACGGCGTGAGCCCTATTACGCATATATTCTTAAGGGTCTTAGGGCTCATTAATTAAATTACATAGTTTCGTTTGGCAGAAATACGTCCATTTATCCATCGAAATATAGTTTTTTAATCAAACCAGAAATAGAGGTTCTTTATTGGAAAATGTAGCGGTAGTTACATTCATACCTCATGCTCCAAAACATGATTCAGAGCCATGCGAGACAGACTCTTTGCCAGAGGTAGAGACGTTTATTTCTATCAGCAAATAAGGAATCCCTCGAGCCATTTTTCAAAATGAGGGCACGAATTTGGAAGCAGAAAAAGAAGAAAAAAAAAAAGTAGAAAAAAATTGCAGTCAACCAGAGACAACGACGACAAGAGAGATATCGCAACAAGATGCAAGAATAAAGTATTTACAAACTGATTCAGTAAGAAGCCCCTGGCACACGAGACTGAAATCAACTTGTACATCCAGAGGCATTGCTTTCTTTGAATATCCGTGCCCCGCTCCTGAGAGTATTGCCGGTTGCCGGGGAGCCAGGCGTGTTTGAGCCGTCAACTCGAGTAAACAACTCGTCGGGCCTCAAGTTAAATTGCTGAAACTCTTTGACTCTCCTAGCTCCAACTCTAATTAAAAGCCTCGATGCACAGCTGCTACAAGAAATTGCGACGTTGCGAACAATGTGCAATTTTTATGTCATGAATGTGGACTAACTTTAAAGTAGACAGAGGTAAACAGAAGCAACCTAACTACATCAGAATTGGCTAATTCTCCTCTCATGTTTCATTCCTTCAATGGGAAAACGAGCTACTTTCTGATTTGAAATTTGGTAAGTATATTATATGTATGCAACCCATGGAGAGGTCGCAGAAAGTTTTGAAACAGTGTGTTGTTAAGATTAACAGCAATTAAGTTTAAGTAAGCTCAGTGACGGGATGGCGACTTGGAGTTCGAGAATAGCCGCCTCTTTTTCGTTTAGTCAAAGATTGTATCCCATATTTTTTTTAAAGTTTTGTGTTTCTCATCACCCTTCATCTCAATCCTTATGAGAGCCAGTTTAAAGAACGTACAAGTTACGGTCGTCTTTAGACACTTGAATTGACACGAACATCTTCATACTGTCCACGATAAGATGTAATGCAGTTACATAAATCTTAGGGGCCGTCCCTAAATTACATAACGCTAAATTTGCTGTTTTTTGACACCCCCGCCCCCTGTAACGCTCAGTAACGCTGTGCTAAACGCCCTTTAAAATTACGTAAAGCTTGCCCGCACTCCTCCCCCCTCCCCCATTTCGATGAAAAATAATCTAAATATCATCTGATTCTAAAGAAGACCGACTGAAAATCCTACAGAAACTTGAAAAAAAAAAAAAAAATAGCTTTAACTCGTCTCGTAACGCTTTGCTCTATTATTCCCACCCTTCTGTAACGATGCGTAACGCTGGCAAAGCCCCCCCTCCCCTCTTGGAGCGTTACTTAATTCAACAACGACCCCACACTGATGAAACAACACACAAAAAAAACACATTTGATCTAGAGTCCAGACTCTTAAAAACATCGACAAGAAAAAATACTCTTGATTCAATCAGATTTAGGCTTAAATCAAGAACCAAGCATCCTAATTTAAGCGGATTTCGTTTTAATTCAAGCAAAAATCCGATTGAATCAAGAGTATTTTTTCTTGTCAATGTATTCAAGAGTCTGGACTCTAGATCTAATGTGTTTCATTTTTTTCCAGTGAAGTATCACAAGCTCCATACGACGTTAAGAAATTGCCGTCGGTATTTTATTTCTTTTTCATAGAAATTGTTGGTTGAATTATTTTGCCGCCGATGAATTTGATATTCAAATAAAAATCCGATTGAATCGAGAGTATTTTTTCTAGTCAATGTTTTCAAGAGTCTGGACTCTAGATCCAATGTGTTTTTTTTCCAGTGAAGCTTAGTAACCGCTAGTTTCTTAAATTTTAGTTCCAGCACATATTTTCATCCTTCCTATCTATAAGACGAAACCCTCAGACTCGGAGCCGGTTCACGCATCCGTAGGTTGGAGCGCGGCAACCAAGTAAAAGGGATATAATAGGGTTAATAAAAGAAGGGCCGCCGGCTCTTTTTGCGGGACCCCGCGAACGCCTCGAGAGGGAGGGAGAAATTTCGAACGATACCGCGATCGGGGCAAAAATGCGACCTCGTTTTTTCAACTTACCCGTCTGATATCTACCCCCACCCTCCTCCCTCGCGCGTCCACGTCGCCGGCGCGTCGCGTCTGCATCCCGGGATCCGCCGTCGAATCCAACGGTTCGTTTTAAAAGCCTCGTTTCCACGAACCAAGCAACGCACAGTAGGGTTGCTTTTGGTGTTCGAAACTCACAGGCGCCAACGTGCCAAATGCGCCTAAAAAATCGGCCATGGCGCCTAAAAAATGAAGGCTCTGCGCCAACGTGCCCCCTAAAAATCCGAATTTTCATATTAGCTGATTATTTGAAATTTTCAGCACTGAGTAAAAGCTTTGTCTATTTCTTCGCGATATCATCCTTAGTGCTTTTGTCTTCCCTAAGTTACAGCTTCTTACTAGTTCTGTTACGGAAACATCTTGCGTCTAACTTCTCACTAAATGCGCCGTTATATACACAAATACATATAGGCAAAAAGTCACTTTGGCCCCTAAAAAATCTTTAATGGCGCCTAAAAATCGGGTTTGATGCGCCACATGGCTCCTAAAACTCAAAGGTGCATTTCAAACACTGGTTTCATTGTGCATTAAGGAACCGCCATCTCTGGCTCTTCCATAAAAGCACCTTCCTGCATAGGAAAAACCAATGGCGTATATGATATTTCTAAAATGAGCCAAAAATAGTGGCTCCTTATCGGAATATAACAAGCCTGCGCTCGAAAGAGGTCGAAGAGGTAACTTTCGACTGAAATTGCAATTTTTGAAGTTTATTTCGTCAGATTTTACGTTTGAAGAGGTGATTATTATGTAAAAACTATGAAAAAACCAATGGAACCATTTTTAAACCTCTGCGATTCGTATTTACGAATATATGTATGAACCGCTTTAAGCAGAAAGCACTGGGAGAAAAAACACATTGGATCTAGAGTCCAGACTCTTAAAAACATCGACAAGAAAAAGTACTATTGATTCAATGAGAATCTAGCCTAAATCAAGAACCAAGCCTCTAAATTTAAGCGGATTTCGTTTTGACTCAAGCAAAAATCCGATTGAATCAAGAGTATTTTTTCTTGTCAATGTTTTCAACAGTCTGGACTCTAGATCCAATGTGTTTTTTTTTCCAGTGAGGAACATAGATATTGCCAAATTGAATTAGACTGTTTAATCTTTCACACAAAAACGGGTGTGCCGGTCTTGTGTAAATTGTAGTGAATTTCCTGCATAGAACGAAGAAAATTCAGTAAAATTTTCAAAGGAATCTGCACAAACGTTCTTGTGAAAAATTAAATTGCCCGGTTACATTTTGCAATTGCTGATGTGGCTCGGTTCCTTTCTGCTAAACGCGGTTCATCTTTGAAATTGTCCTCGTCATGTCCGGTCTGTCCCTTCAACGTGTTCCACTGTACGACGTTCCTGGAGCTAAAACCGACATTTTTAACCTCGACCCCTGGCTGTCTCCCGCGTGATGACTTGTTCTTTGCCAGGGACAAAATATCCCGTAGACCCTTTGCTATCTATCTTAGTAATGTAAAAGGGCGAAGAGGGATTTACTTTCGGGGACTCGGCGTTTTAGCACGGGAAGGACTCATCTACGCCCGCCATGATGAAATACCGTTTTCGCATGGTTTGCTGTCATTTGGATATTGTTATAAACAAACCATTTTTATCGCCTTGGATCTTTTCAAAAAGAGGCTTTTTGCTCAGCGAAAGTATCTAAGCTACCTTTAGATGCAGTGTGCTGGTTACACGCTCAAATTCCCATCAATTTCCGATCAAATGGTGACTGGTGCGCGCACCATTTAACCATCAAATTTCTGCGGCCTGCAAAAATTTGATGGTAGATGATGGGACTGTGGGGCTCATCCTTCATCTGATTTCCACACAACCGTGCTTATTTCATGCTTATTTCAATCAACACGC